GATGGCTTCTAAAACTTCAACTTTCTTCTCAGTTTGGCAACATTCACTGTAACCACCAAACAAAGTGCTGCCACAGTCAAACAGAGGTGGTCCTTCAAGTTGATGAGGTAGACCTTCAGGCAATTGAACAGCAGGAAAACAAACATGTTTCCAGGGATGATCTAACTTGAAAGCCAGAACTGCCAGAAAGCTGAAAGCCATTCCAAGTTCCATACTGGGTTTAAACCCATTCCAGAACTCATCTTTGTCTTGTTGATTGTAATTGACACCACCATTTGTAGGTTTTTCATCTCTGGGGCATGTTTGTGGCAAAGGAAGTCCACAGAGTGCAAGATTACCAACAAAGCAGAAGCAGGAAGACTCGGCAATTGGGTGCTGGATGGAATTCTCCCAGAAGAGTTGTTATATGACAGATCCAAGGTACTGAGGAAATGTAACTGGGACAAGATATTTTTTAGTTGGTTAAAGAGAAATTAATGATAGGTTTTGGAATGCAGCTAAAATTAAAGCCAATCCAACTAAGGTACAAATAAGTTAAAACTCTGCAACTCAAACAGGAAAGGACATAGCTTACTTCTTAAAGAGCAATCCTGAACAATAATAAGTGCCCAGTTGCTTTGCTACACTGAACTCCTCTCCATTTGCAACAATCCCTTTTCTCTTCTTCACTTCCCCAGGAGGAAAGCACACCATGGTCATCAACCAAACCTTGCTTAAATGCAAGAAGTACTTGTCTTTCCCTCTCCATGCACCTAACTTCATGATCTCCAGCTGTTGAATTGAGTCCAACGGCACTTCTAATCTGTAGTAAAATCACAATTAAAAAGACAACCAGAGAGTTCCCTCTACCCAAAACCATCATTTTTTAAGTGAAAACAACAAAACCAAGATCAAGCAGAACAAAAATGAAAACTGTCAAAGAAAAATTGTGGAAACTTAACCATTTGGTTCTGCTGTCTGAGTTTTGGAACCCTTCCACTTATATAAACAGCTACAACGGAACGCAATGAACAGATGTCAAAAGGGAACTTAAAAAATTACAAGTGAACCATAAATTAGACAACAACTGGTCATCAATTGGACCTTGTTTAAAGTTGAGGAGTGTTTCATCTTTCACTCTCTATAACAGTATTTTTCTACTTTACTTAATTTATCATCTTTTCCATTTGCTAGCATTACTCTCATGTCGTTTTGATCATGTAGCAAATGGAGCATTGTAAGGAACGTTGAGGGAAGTGGAGAAACAAGAGAATTTAATGTAAAGGCATCAGCTAAGTGAGGGAATTCATATAAGTGTGCAGAGTTCATTTCAGTACAATTACTTTAATCAGCTTTTCCCTAAAGTATCCTGATTATTGGGGAAGAAAGAGTAAGCGAGTTTAAATTTAAGGAGGTATTTTTAGTAATCTAGATGTTTGGTTCAAAATTCCATCCAAACATACATACAGTGAGACTAAGGATGTTACGCAATTGTTAAGGATAAAAATCTCATCAAGAGGAAGTGTAATTGTTTGGAGTTTTTATTGAAGAAAACAACACTAGTGAGACTAAATGTTGTCCAAAACAATGTCATGTTTGAAGAATAATTTATATGATCTTTTCTTGACATTGATCCTGTGATAAATAGAAAGGACCCACTATACCCAAAACCATTATTTTTGAAAGTGATATGAACAAAATCAATATCAAACTGAACCAAAGTGAAAATTGTGTCGAGGAAATTTAATATTTTGTGAAACAAAATGGAGAAGACCCTTAGTGTAGGGAGAAGATTAAAGAAAGATACCAGTTTGACGAATTTTAACAAAAAGTCAGGCTGGAGCAGCAGAATTCAACACTGAGCCTGTGAAACACGATCAAGTTAAAGAAATGGAAGACCATTTACTTGTTGCCACATTAACCAACTTTGGAAAACTTGTCTTCTGGAAGCATCCTATTGAAAGTTATTGAGAATGCAACAAAGAAAAGAAGACTTGAACCCATCAAAACCCATCAAAAATGCTCTAAGAAAACACTTAAACTTCGGTTATAAACAGCAACCCCTTAAATCAAAAACCTAATGGAAAAAATATATATGGAATTGCACAAACAAAATCAAAACCCATTTTATAGTACAGTAACTTGCACTTGTTAATGGCATGACTGCTACGGCAAGCACCAAAAATGGTTGCTATGTGCAAGAGAAATGGAAGACAAAAAAAAGCATGGCAGCTACTGGATTATCCACTTTAGTAATTAGATTCTCTAAAGATTAGGAACAAGCAAACAATTCATAATTATTTTCTAATTACACTTGAAGTGATTTGCTTGCATTGTTGTTTCCTTTGAAATATTAAAGTCGAAATAAATAGAAGCAGCACATACCCACTACACAGACAAAACAAGAGCTTACCTTTGATGCGAACCCAACAGCCATTTTAACACAAAAACCTGAAGATGAGTTGAAAAGCCACGAGTTTATTGAAATTATTCACAGAAAACAGAATCGACCATCTATTTAGTTTAGTGACATGCGATTGGAATTTTGGGGATGAAGAAACAGGGGAATTGACAACTAGAAATTACCTGCTTCATTGACAACGCGAATCTCCGGCCCTACATCTCTTGACCATTCCCGGAAATTTCGTGAAGAAATACGAAAAGGCTCATTTGGGCAGAGGAACAGAGAAAGTGGATGAGGGTTGCCTCGATGGCACTAATCCTACCCTACATCTGTTGACCATTTGATTAATTAAAGATAATATTTTAAAATTAACATAAAAAACTATAAATTAGGGTTTGTATATACTGACTTTCTGAGTTTCTGTCTCTCTCCAGATTACAGACTTGGTAAAAATTACAGAATACAAATCCATATTGCACATCAGTTTCAAGCAAATTATTACAAAATAGATGATAAAAAAAAAAAAAAAAAAAGCGCAAACCATTTAATTTAAACAGACCTCTCAACCAGACACACTTATAAATAAAGGAAGAAACAATGCCCTGCTCAGCTTGGGCTTACTGGAAGTTCACTTTGCAACATGAAACATCTTGAACCTGAAAAACAACAAATAAGAGGTTATTTGCTCTGTTACTCTTTCTTTTTATAATCAAGTTAAGAAGATGCCATACAAGATTAGAATAAATGTGTATCGACCTTTACCGGCTTCTAGGAAGAGACTGATGGCTCGAACAACTTCAATTTTCTTCCCAATCTGGATACATGTTCTCTCACCAGCAAACCAACTGCTGCTACAAGTAAATAAAGGCAGTCCTTCAAGTTGC